AACAATAGCGTTTTATTAAAACATCCAAAAAGCATGTTAGGGAGATTTCCCTATCTGTAACAAAGACAAAACAGAGTTAGCGGAAATTTCTCCAGAGTGAGGGGAAATCCCTATTGGACAGTTGGCATCAGAACAGGTGTCCCTACTGGAAGATTCAACCCTCTAATCCTGTTCCAGTGACAACTTTAAATTTTATATTATTCAACACTTTATGTAAAGGGTGAATCTTCCCATCAGGGACAGGAAAACAAACCTTATCAAAGGGTTAGGTGTGTGTAGTGATTGATCTCTAGTAGACTTAAGGACTCTGATAGAATGTCTTGTCTGATGTAGAAGTTTTCTTTCAAGTGGCTTGTATCCCAGGAAGACTGGTTTGTTAGGTTGAATTTTTTTCTGGAACCTTGTAAAAAATAAAATGCCATTTTGGAGGTTTCAAGTGGTCCCCTTCATCAGGGCTTTGTATGTGAGTGGTATTTTCTGGATAATTTATTACAATTAGAGTATATCCTGAATTACATATTGGAGTATAGAAGTGCTCCAGTTGCTGATTTGGGTGTCCGTTTATGAACCAGCAGTAATAGATCGCTGCTCAGTTCTCCGGCATTCTCGGAGAACACAGTTCTCCTGAGAATGCAGTTTATGAAGCAGTTCTCCCAACGAAGGGAGAACGGTCTCCAAACGCTGGAGAACGGTCTACAAACTCTGGAAAATGGCTGATTTTACTATAATCTCGCGAGATTTCAGTAAAAGATCAGATTACTAAGCAGAGGTAAGTTATCTCTGCTTAGTTTGCGGTCCCTCTGATTCTCCAGCTCTGGGCTGGAGAATCTGGAGGGAGAACACAGATCTCCAGTGAAGGGCTGACATGATCTCCTGAGTGTCATAAACTGTGAATGACCAGAGAATAGCTGAGATCCATTGAATCACAGCTATTCTCTGTGTCATAAACGGACACCTTAGTAAATCCATCAATACAGGCATCTCTACACTCCAATCTGTCTTCCAGGATATGTTTGTTTTTTACTGCCCAGAATATGGCCCTATAAGCTATATTAAGCCATAATGAAAAGAAATACTTTGGAACTCATAAAATATGTTGCTTTTCTGGTTTATATGACCCCAAATTTAAAAAAATTTATGGACCTAACTTGTCAATTTTGGCATTTTCCTTCATACACTTCCAAGCAGTAAAGAACTGATAGGGGTTCTAATGCTTACACACTCAATACAAAAGATTTGGCTTTAGATATACTGTAAGACTTGTAAATGCTAATGATGGAACTGTATAGCTATGGGGCTGCAACAGTAACAGTGGACAGGACTAAGCTTGACTTTTAACTGAAAATTCAAAGTTGCATTTAACTTCAGCTGCCATTTTCTCAGGATATACTGGTCATTTCAAAATGTGTTTTGTTCCCAAGGATAAACTTTACTTATTTATCTTTCTCATGATATGTTCAGTTTTAAATGCCCATGTTTGTAAAATAATAATATTAAACAATATTGTATGTTGGCTAAATTAACAGATTTCAAAATCGGTGTGGTGTTTTCTCCATGAAAATATAACCACTGCAATTCACACGAATTAAGATATGTGGGCAACCACAAGTCTCCCCCTTATCCAACTCTGGATAAGTGTTCCAAGGAAGAACATTTCTGAAGTGACACCTGTCATCTGCTGAGCTAACTTGTCATACATTTTCATGAATAATTAAGGGCAGAAGTGAAGGAAATGGTCCGAGGAATTAAGGAGCTGACAGGAACACTTTAAAGTGACCTAGCATTGGCCTTCACTGTTTACAGCCTCTCAGTCTTCATCCTTTTTTGTAATTGCCTGGCAATTTAATATGTTTTAGGTGAGCAAAACATCTTAATCTTTAATGATGTAAAGATTCTCTCTGCTTTGAGCTGCAAGAGTGGACTCCTGCCAAGTCCGACCATTTAATCATGTCACAAACAAATCGCCAGGAATTAAAAGACCGTTTTAGATGAGAAATTGAAATTAAAGTATCATAATAAGCTTAATTTACCCACCAAGTTGAAGCCATTTCTAGACGCAAAGACAGTTTCTAAAAACATCAAAGCAGATATGTTGATTTATAGAAAGCACCCCAGGTTGGAGTAGAATTTTATGTGGCTATAACATTTAACTCCTTCCTTCCAAGCTTAAACCCAGCTTGCATTGCAGATACGGATTGTTCCTATTTAAAAAGATTCAACTGTATCTAGAAATGTTTAAATGTCACAAAGACTGTCATACTGGCCAGTTGTCCCTGTTTAGGGGGTAGGCCTATCTGCTGGAACTTGAAGCAGATATGGAATCAGCAATATTGTTATATGTTCTAAGGGTGAGTGAATTTTGCAACCAGTTTAGCCAAACATCCTCAAAATTTTAAAATTCAATTCATCCCCATTGAAGTCTGAGGGTGGTTAATTTCAATATTCAATTAATTTTTTTTTGTGGGACTTATAAACTATTGTCAAAATATAGGCATATGAAGAGTCATATGTCATTAGGGACCTGTACCAATGCCAAAATAAAATAGAAAAAAAATAAAAATAACGTACAACAGGGAAAGGGCTTTTTCATGTGGTTTCATCGAATATACTGTACATAAATCCTTCAAATTACCCTTTTGGGGGATGTGTTAACGCTGTACATGATGTTATGGAACAGCACGATGATCATGGACAGTGTGACAGTACACTCTGGCAGTGCTTTCCTCCTCTCTCCTCCTCTCCCCCTCCTCTCCCCTCCTCTCCCCTCCATGACACCAAGGACTACTTCACTTTGAACACCTGCTGCTGCATATTCTCTGTTGCTGTTCCCTGCCTGCAGTCCCCTTCTTCCAGAAGGATTGAGCCAACCTCTTCCTCTATGGTTCTCCCACTATCTTCCTCTATATCAGAAGAGAGTATGTCACTCATATATTCTTACTGCTGCAAGTCTGCTTTGGTATGGTCAAATAATTACTCAGATTCCTCAGTCTGCAGGCTATGTTGGGATTAGCAGAAGAGAAGAAGAGGGATGAGGGCACATTGGTAACCCTGGTGGACAAGAGGTTGCTCTACATCTGGGAGAATGCAGACATGGAAGGTTTTGTCAGCCAGTCAACTGTCTCTTGGATGCTCTGTGATTGTACTGGGTGGCAAAAAAAAAAAACATATGTGCCCAGTCTCCAGTTTTGTGCTGACCTATCACTGCTAACTCCTATAGAACCTACTCTCTCCCTTCTACTGTCTGCCCCATATTGCAGTATTAGTGAGAAATGCTCATCTTTTAGGCTTCATGCACACAGGACGTTTTGCAAATTCTGCTAGAAGCTCTTCTTCCTGGCAGCGAATTTTGGCACGAAAAAACGCCTGATGCCTGTAAAAGTGTGTATCGCTTTTAGGCGCATTTAGGCATGTTTGACAGGCATCAATCGCTTGAGTGTTAATTCATTTAATTGGCCAGAATATTAATTTATTCTAGCCTTTGAAATGAATTAATGCTCAAGCACTAAATTTGCCTTGTGTTAACACACGTTTAGACACGTTTACAAGCATCGTGTTTTTTCTGCCAAACACTGCTGCTCCTGGACACACTGGCAGTAGGTTTTTTTCTGCTTCTAAAAGCCCCGGCTACTAAGGCTTCATGCACACAGGTAGCTTTGCAAATTCTCCTAGAAGTCTCTCTTCCTGGCAGCAGCGTTTTGGCAAAAAAAAATGCCTGATGCTTGTAAAAGTGTGTAACGCATTTACGTGCATTTACAAGTGTCAAGCTCTTGGGCATTAATTCATTAATTCATTTAATTTTCCAGAATAATCATTTATTCTGGCCATTGAAATGAATTAATGCTCAAGTGCCTAGTGTTAACATGCATTTATGTGCGTTTATAACAGTCAAGTGGTTTTTCTGCCCAAAATCTGCTGCTCTTGCATGCACTGGCAATGGGGTTTTGTTCTGCTCCTAAAAGCTCCTGCTACTGAACACTGTTAAAAGTCTGTGTGTGCATGAATGCATAGGATAACATGCAGGGGAATTTAGAGACAGGAAAATAAAATGCCAGATGCCCCCAGAAGCAGCTGAAAAAAGGTCCAGTCTGCATGTGGCGGTGGGGAGGGGAGGTGAATGTGTGGTGCTTTTGATACATACTAGTTAAAGCACAGCAATTCAGTGACATGCTGCGTACAAAGGGGACCCCCTAAGAAGGACATCTTGGTTTACTGAACTGTGAACATACAGGGTAGATAAGAATGTGTAGCCCACCACACCGTAATACACAGTAGAGCACAATGTAGCATTGTGCAGCACATTATAGTACTGTAAAGTACAGAAAATAACTGTATTTTTTCCCTACAAAGATTTGTTTTTATAGATTTCCCTAACCAGCTCCAACACACACAGACAATATAGCTGCTGGGAGCCCACCCTTTAATAGTGAGGGAGGTGGTTACTTTATTCTTTCAAATTATTGTCTCTCAGACTCTCAGGGACCCATCTGATCAGGGACAAAGGTTGTACGGTGCATTGTGTATTTTGGTATGAATTTATTCCTTGAACCAAAAGTGGTGCCAAACCTGAATTTTGTCACCTAAAATGTATATACAGTATCTCTGGAAGATTACACTATTCAGGACAAAATGGGGCACAAAACTTTATTTTATAGTAAAAGCAAAAGGCTAGAGAAAGAAAAAAACTTAGTGGGGTTAGATTTACTAAAAAAACTGGTGCACTCAGACTCTAGAGCAGCTGTGCATGGTAGCCAATCAGCTTTTAACTTCAGCTTGTTCAGTTACGGTTTGGCAATACAATCCTGATTGGTTACTGTGCACAGCTGCACCAGATTTAGCTCTCTCTCCAATTTTAGTAAATATCCCCCAGTGAGTCTACACTGTTGAAAAAAAAAAAAAAAATCTATATATATATATATACACTATATTGTCGAAAGTATTTGGACGACCCAAATCATTGGGTTCAGGTGTTCCAATCACCTCCACGGCCACAGGTGTATAAAATCAAGCACCTAGGCATGTAGACTGCTTCTATAAACATTTGTGAAAGAATGGGTCGCTCTTAGGAGCTCAGTGAATTCAAACAAGGTACCGTGATAAGTTGCCACTTGTGCAATAAGTCCATCCGTGAAATTTCCTTGCTACTAAATATTCCACGGTCATCTGTTAGTGGTATTATAACAAAGTGGAAGCAACTGGGAACAACAACAATTCAGCCACGAGGTGATAGGCCACGTAAAATTACAGAGCGGGGTCAGTACATGCTGAAGAGCACAGTGTGCAGAAGTCACCAACTGTCTGCAGAGATAATAGCTAAAGACCTCCAAACTTTGTATGACCTTCAGATTAGCACAACAACAGTGCATAGAGAGCTTCATGGAATGAGTTTCCATGACCTAGCAGCTGCATCCAAGCTTTACATCACCAAGTGCAAAGCAAAGCAAAGCGATGGATGCAGTGGTGTAAAGCATGCCGCCACTGGACTCTAGGTCAGTGGAGACATGTTATCTTGCTTCTCTGACTGGCAATCCGATGGACATGTCTGGGTTTGGCGGTTGCCAGGAGAATGGTACTTACCTGACTGCATTGTGCCAAGTGTAACGTTTGGTGGAGGGGGGATTATGGTGTGGGGTTTTTTTTTCAGGGATTGGGCTTGGCTCCTTAGTTCCAGTGAAGGGAACTCTTAGGACATTTTGGGACAATTTCATGCTCCAAAGTTTGTGGGAACAGTTTTGGGGATGGCCCCTTCCTGTTCCAACATGACTGCGCACCAGTGCACAAGGCAAGGTCCAGAAAGACATGGATGAGTGAGTTTGGGGTGGAGGAACTTGACTGGTTCTTACCTCAAACTGATAGAACACCTTTGGGATGAATTAGAGTGGAGACTGTGAGCCAGACCTTCTCATCCGACATTAGTTCCTGACCTCACAAATGCGCTTCTAGAAGAATGGTCAAACATTCCGATAGACACATTCCTAAACCTTGTGGACAGCCTTCCCAGAACAGTTGAAGCTGTTATAGCTGCAAAGAATGTGGTTCCAGCACAGGGTTCATATTCTAGTTCCCAATTTCCCAAAGGCTATTTACCCAAAGATATGTTCCCTGGAAATTTATACTGGGACTTTTAAGGCAACTCAAAACAAATGATATAAACATGTAAATAGTTTTATTACAAAATTGTTGTGAAACATCATAATTTGATACACAACACATACTGTATGTTAAAATCATACATAGAAGGAAATGGTGAAAATGCCTGTAAACTTGCTGTAGGCTGAAAATTTATATTCACCCTCTCCTGTAAGCCAGAAGGAAGCGAAGGGCGAGTAAACTTCAGCTGAAAAGACCTGACGCCTTTCAGAACAAAAGTCTTTCTTCAGGGGTGTGCTTAAGAAAAAGGATGGCCAAGAAACATTCATCCAATTTTCGTTTGTAATTTAACTCACCGTAATTGTGCAAAAAGAATAAAGAATGATCTTCTCTTTATGTGCTCACCATCGATACCTCAATGGACTGAGGCTAGATGGAAAAAAGACTCAGGAGGTGGGGAGGAAGACCAGCCCCCAAAGTTAATTTCTCACACAGGGATCACAGTGATGAGGACAAAGGAACCACTTGGGTGGCTAAAAAGGCCAAAAATGAAACTAGCTCCCCAAATAATTCTCATAAGGCGAGCTCATCGTGGTGTGGCAACCTGTACATCAGAAGGTAGGATACACCTGCTTATCCCAAGCAGGTTTAAATTCACCTGTTCATTGATTAACTACTTCTCTGTTTTCATAAAAGAGTACTTTCTACTGTTATCCATGAGCTTTCCTCCTTCTCGTTTGCAATCATGCCTTCTTGTTCTTAATCTTCAAATTGAAAATACTATTCATTTACAGCTGTAATGTATTTAAAGGTTTTAATGATGTCAACCCATTTCCCTTGATTTGCCTAGGATGGGCTTATAAAATTCCTCTACTCTCTCCTATGTTTTAACCTCAGACCTAGAACCAACTAGTAGCTCTTGCACCATTCAGTAGCTAGGTAATCTTCAGAGATAATCCACTGCTATTACATAACAGATTTACATTGGTACCAAGGTATACAACAAACAAAAGAAAAAAAGTGCAGATAATGCCAAATGGAAAGAGTCAAGAGGCGCAGCTACATTACATTATAGAGAATGATATGTTTTCTATAAATTGATACAGACTAGCCAGAATCCACAGTCACTCACTAGTACAAAAACAATGCACGCAGTCTATAATCTTTGTTGAATTGATTTTTATTTTCACGCACTCTCTCATTAGTATACATTAAAATGCTAGCAAATTTAATAAATAAAACATTTGCTCACAGGCAGGGTTTTTATAACCGAAGAGACCAAAAAGGTCTCTTCTGTCTTACATCTCCCCCTTGCCTTTCAGTGGGTAATGTGATCTGAGCTGCACATGTGCAGTTCAGGCGACATTTATGGCCCGCTCAGACTTCTGTGAGTATGTGCAAGAGTGATGTCACCGCTTCTCAGCCATTCAAGTGACTTAAGATTCCGAACCATGCGTCAGTGAGCCATGACAGTGCAGCACTAGAGAGCTCTAATTTACTAAATGTGATACTAAAGGCTTTTTTTTTTCCTAAAAATAACAAACATGCAATCCCATTACAAACATGTAATACTTATCGCTATGTGCAGTGATTTTGCACAGAGCAGCCAGGATCCTCCTCTTCTCTGGTCCTCCTTAAGCTCTCCAGCCCCTCCCTCCTGTCAGGTGCTCCCACAGTAAGCAGTTTGCTATGGGGGCACCTGCTGCTCCGTTTGTGCATTCACACAAGGAGCCGCGGCTCGGTCTTGCCCCTCTCTTTTCTCATTGGCTCACAGGCTGTGATTGACAGCAGTGGGAGCCAATGACTCCCACAGCTGTCTCAGCCATAGAATGCATGAAGATAAAAAAACCTTGAGCCTTTACAAACACTTTAACCCTACCGGGAATCCCATTTGTTTTAGCTTACTAGGCTGACTTTACTACTGTTTTAAGGACTAACTCCAGCCAATTTTTTAAAATAAGGTTTGGAGTGAGGAAGAGTTTAACTGGCTATAGATTTTTTCATTTTCCCTCCCAGAACGCTGTAATCTAATAGCTGCACCCATGGTTGTAAAAAATACACTCAAGGTCAAGAAACGTTTACCTTCATACCACTTTGACAGGCATTGATCAAACAACCATCTTCTATCAATTGTGGACTGCCACACACTGATCGATATTCAGCCAGTCCCCTGCTTAACCAAATTTCAATCAATGTTCAATTAATCAACGTTAAAGTTTCTGACATTTTGTAGGAGATTTTCTCACTTCATTTCCATTGATATCCATAGAGTAATGGGATTGCAGTTGTCATTTGCACAGAAAACATTTTTGTTTGATCACTTTATATCTTTCAAATTTGAATTTTTAGTTGTAGCGCATCACATTGTTTTTAAATAGATCAAAACAAAGTATATTGTTTTATTTTTCAGCTGTGCTGGTCAACTTGTAGTTTCTAACTTGAGAACATAAAGGAGCACATGGATTCTGCACCCTAAATCAATATCCAATGACAGCATACGTAGAGTAATCTGGTGTGGACATTTATCTGGGTGTGTAGGATACTTGGTGCCCTGCTGATGGCTGTGGTTCATGCTGCCATCCCCAATGTCACAGCAGGGAGCCGGGTATTCAAAACACCCAGTTGTGTTAGGTGCAGAAGATAAGTGGCACAGACAGGGGACATATTGTACAGGCACTGCATTGTATAGACAGTTATAGTGCACTTTATGGTAGAGATTTTATAAACTACAGGCATATATGGTAAAGTTTTATGATAGATCAGGGATACAAGTGACTCATTCTATCTAAAACTGATATTTTGGTTTTGGAGAGATGTTGTAGAGTCAAGCACCAGTGGGTTTCTTTTATCTCTCAGTGGAGAGATCTCTAGCCTTAAATTCCTAAATTTCTTCACCAGCATGAACCAAAACAAAGTATTCACATTCTGTCTAGATTTCTTATTTATTTTCTACAAAAGAGAATGCAGCTAGAGGATTGTGAACCCTCAAAGGATTTGTGTACACAGGCATCAGTTTTAGAAGCAAGTCATGCTTTCAAGGAAAAAAGACTTGCATTTGAGATGTGTTTGAGATACTTTTTAATTGCTTTGAGTAGCTTTTGACATGCTTCTGTTTACATTCACAATTTGTATGGGATGGGGGGGGGGGGGAGAGAATCAGTTCAGACACACCAGAGCAGGGCATGCTGCATTTACCAAGATATGAAGCTAAACAAAGCAAAGCAAATGCAGAAAGGAATGCAAGTTAACAAGGCCCGTCAGAATTCAAACATTGCATACAAAATCCTTTCAAATCACTTCAAAACTAAAATAAAAAAAATACTACTGTATTTGTTGAACACTTCTCAAAGGTGGAAACAGAGAAAGTGCCATGACAGGGAGATCTTATTGTAGGACATCATGTTAAGCCATTGGGTGAAAACCCACCAGGCTCCACCTATAGTTGTTTCGTGGACTGACCCGTGAAGTAAAAAAAACACACAGTATCCAATCAAGAAGCAGTTTAAAACTAGCAATATGATAGGTCATTAGGGGCTGTTATGATTTAAGGGAAACCAGTCAACTATGTTGTTACTTTTTTTTTACTTTGTTAAGTTTTATATTTGTTAAACTGATGTTTTATATATTTTTTAATTATATGTATTATATGAATAAAATATTTATGTGTACAACTAAACCACCTTACATTATATCTGCCCCTAAATTTGCTACATCCTCATCACAATAGATAAAATAAAATCATATACTCTCTAGGCCTACTATGCCTTATTAAAACTATCCTGCTGTTGGCCAGTTTTACACTGCTGTATCCTCTGCAGTATCCTAATTCTTGTTGTAAAGTCTCAGGGTATTATCATTGTCTGTAGTAAATCTGGGCCTTGCCTTGCTCTTTAAACTTGACCTGCTGCTGGCCAATTTTACACTGCTTCGTCAACTTTGGTCTCTTAATTTTTGAAGTAAAACATCAGTCTGTACTCTTTTTCTGTAGTGTTTTGACCAATTCTCCCTAATTAAAAATATCCTTCTTGTCTGCTGTGTCATCTGTGACCTCCTAATTCTTAATAAGAATTTGATAGAACATGACCAATGCAGAACTACTGACCAGTTTCTATCTGTCTGCCAAACTGGGCCTATTAATTTTGGATGAAAGTGTTTCTTGCCACACAAATATGTGTCAACCCTCTCCCTTCTGTACATTTTTTAAAAATGTTTTTGCATTGGTGTATGTCCCCAATGGCTATGCCCAGCTTTCCATATTTCCCATACAGTAGTTTGTCTGCTTGCCCTGAAAAGGGCCAGAATCTACTAATGCACCCACAGACTTCAGTGGGACTAAGTAGGTGGAACCACTAAGTTTGGGTATGCTAATTTTCAAACAGGATTCACCAAAATCTTAGTGAATCAAACCCGGGCATATTTGTCCATTCTTAATTGCAATATAGGCATAGGTGCTTCACCTTGATGCATTTATACTTCAGGTACTAGTCTTCAGCAGCTAGATAGAGTCAGTGTTGTT